TCAAAGCAGATACTAAGACTCATAACCAAACCTTCGGCAGAGTGCAGGAAACCATATGAAAGAAGGGGGAGTTTGTATGACGTGGAAAGAATAGGAGCTCCACAAGGACCAAATATAGCTGGGCCATGCTTCTCATTACCCACAATATGGCAACAGTGCCAAGAGGTCCACAGATTCAGCTTGACATCCAGTGAGCACCAATAAGTACAGTGTGCATGGACATAGTGTTAGCCATAAGTTGAACCACAATCAATCTAAATAATACTCTACCTTAAAATAATTCTGTCATTTTTTATGAATAAAAATGGTACTTACTTATTATTGTATTTGAAATTCATCAATAATTAGTTATGGAAAGTTTTGTCTTTCATATGTGGATAATATCTTTAGTTTTGCTTCTTCAATCACAAAGCCTGGAGTGTTTATACTGTAATTTTTTTATATAAAAAGCGCTACATTCTGATCTAAGTAACCTATGTATTTAATATAAGGGTGTAGACTGTTCATAGTTACAAGGAATCCTAATATCTCTTAATACAATACCTTTAATTTGTTATTGTTATTACTTTTAACCTCATTATTATTATGTATGTGTGTGTTTGTGTGTGATGGTAGGTAAAAGTGTGCACATTCTATGATGCCCACGAAGAGGTCAGAAGACAGCTTTCAGAGGTGGGTTTTCTCTTTCTATGATAGGTTCTAAGGGATTTGACTCAGGTCATCAAGATTACAGCATAAGCACTTCACCTGCTAGTCTAGTACCTTCACTTTACAGCTGAAGACCAACTGTGAAAAGATTGGTGGCTGATCCAACAAAACCCCACTGGTTACAGAGATAGTTCAGACATTTACAATTGAAATCACAGAAAATTGTGAAAACCACCCTATATCGGGCCAGTTGCATTTTACAGTCTGGAGTCTTTGCTGACCTTTTTGTTAACTGAATATGTAAAGAATAAATTATGGAATTTTCCTTTCAAGGTAATTACAGAAAATCATTATTTTTCTTTTCATTTAAATTTTTTTTGTTTATTAAAGATAATTCTATGTCCTTGAACAGGAATGGTGATTAAGTTGTCATTATGAATACTCAATATAAGAATTTAGATTCCTTACTAAATCCTGAAAAACTGAGGTTTTATGGTTTCTTGATTTCAAATAATAATAATTCTATCCTGTCCATACAACCCTTAAATAATAATTCTATCCTGTCCATACAATCCTTAACCTCTTTTGCACCCTGCTAAGATTGCATTCGATGAATTCCTTCCAAGTTGTAATTAAGTAATCTTACATTTTTGTGTATTATAGAAGTTAAAAAAAAAACATTTTACAGCACAAATTTTTGTGACAAAAATAGTGAAATAATATGCAAGTAACTTACAAGACTTCTTCCAATGGGCTATGGAGATTTCTCAGTGGTAAAAAGCTTGCCATACAAATATGGCAACATGAATCCTACACCCATGTAAAAAGCTTGGCTCAATGAAATACATCTGTAATCTCAGCCTTGAGGGGGGAAAAGGTGGTCTTGGAATATCACTGGCCAGCCAATCTGCCCACTTGCTGAGAACCACGTTCAATAACAAATTAGAGGTATGGAGGCAGGTCAACTCATAGAGAGAGTTTGCCAGGCAAAAGGCCTTGAGTTGTTTCCACCACCACAATATAAAACCAGGCACATGGTATGCTCTTTTAATCCTAGTTCACAGGATATAGAGACAGAGGGATGAGAAGTTCAGAGTCATCCTTGGAAATTTTGTGAATTCAAGGACACCCTGGGCTATATGAGCCTCTGTCTCAAGCACAACAGCAAAATAAAAATGTGGTAGAATATGGGTCAGGAAAACACCCAGTGTCAGCCTCTAACCTCCACATGCATATACAAGTGCATGTACATACCTGCGTATGTACATTAATATGGACACGCATACACATACTATCCAATAACTTCTCTGCTGGGTATCTTGACAGACACTTGTTAGTTTTTGTATATGCATATACTTCATAAATTTGTTTAGATCATGACTTCTTGACTTTCACTTTCTGGCTATAATACTAACAGAACTGGGAACACTCTGATAAATGAAATGAGGCTGTCAAATACTACATGATAACATGAATGGAATTTGTCCAAGCTGATATCAAGAAAATTGCAAGTAAAGAATTGGGATTTGAAGGCTGGATTTCAGGACAAAGGGGTGGTAAAGAAAGGATACCATTGAATTGACATTGGTGTTAAGTAACGCTCTGGTATTTGATATATGAGTATCGTGTGAAGGAGAACAATCATAACAAATGTCTATTTGTCCTAGATAGTGTATAGAAGACAGAGCATAGTAAGGATACCAATATAGCCCAACTTGACATACAAAAAAGGTTATTATGCTTACTTACAGAGCATTAGTAAGGGATTAATAAGGGGGGTTGGTGATAGAGCAACAGTTGCTTCACTGCAAATCTTCATTCTATTGTGGATGACATCATGGAAGCTGCACAGAGTCCCCCTTCCCTAACCTTCCACTCCCAGTATACTTGATCTCACCAAGGCCACTCTCAGCTAGGAAGAAAGAAAAGACTTCCAGGGAAGGTTCCTGTGACCCTCCTCCCACTTCCTGTTACTAGGCAGTGTCAGTAGCTCCATTCACATTATCATAGACCTAACTAATTTATATTGTATTGGTCAGTTCTTTGCCATACTATGAGGCAGAATTAATCTCTATTCTAATGTCATAATGGGTGAGCATGTTATGTGCAGAGAAAACAAACCACTCTTCTCAACACAGGGTCATGTTTCAGGAACTAGATATACTTTGAGTTGACATGAGACAATGTGTTATAGCATACATTTCATGTTACTGCATACATTTGCTTAACTCTCATATCTCAACTAAAGTACTGTCTTAGATAGGAATCAATACCGAAGCGTAAAATAGTGACTGAATATTTTGGAAACAAACAAACAAACAAACAAACAAAAACAAAAACAAAAAACAAAAACAAAAAAAAAAAAACCTCTAAAGCAGAACATTACCAGCCCAGAAAAGGCATATATACCACTTTATCTCTCTGTTTAAATTATCAGTCTCCACACCCTGGCTATCCTTTCTCACTAAGCCCCAAAGAATCTTCAAAGTTCTCAGCACAGTGTTCTAGAAACAACCTAACTAATCATCCACAGCTGCCATAATAAAGGATATCTCTTTTCAACTCCAGCCTGGAGCTTAAGATGAAGAGATCAAATGGTTATAAATGTCACAATCAAATTAGCGAAAGAATAGGTCAAGGAGGTCAAGTAGGAGGTTATTACAGATCAGTCACTGGTCCAAGAAAAGCCTGATGCAGGTGCCTGTGCTTAAGGACAGGCTGTTGTATCATTGTTAGAACATGGGCCTGCACCTTTATGCCAGATCACATAGCCTGAACCAGTCCACAGACAGCTCCCTGCAACTCTTTCTTTGGTAGAGTTTAAGAAGCAGTCTGTCTTTCAGAGGCCCTCTGTGGTAGGCTCCTGCCCTGTTCCTTGTCTTCTCCTGCTTCCAATGACTATCTTGTTTGTCCTTCTGAATGGGGATTGAGCATCTTGCCTAGGGTCTTACTTGTTATTCAGCTTCTTTAAGAGTATACATTTTAGTATGTTTATCTTACATGGCTAATAGCCATGTATGAGTGAGTATATACCATGTGTGTCTTTGTGCTTCTGGGTTACCTCACTCAGGATCCTCTTTTATACTGAATGAAGTATCAAAGCAGAGGCTGAGACTCAGCCAAACTTTGGGCAGGGTACAGGGAATCTTATGAAAGAAGGGGTGGGGGGGTAAAAAGACCTGGAGGGGACAGGAGTTCCAAAAGGAGACCAACAGAGCCAAAAAACAAAACAAAAATCCTGAGCCCTGGGTACCCTGAAGAGACTGATACCCCAACCAAGGACAATGCATGAAGAGGACCCAAAACCCTGGCTCAGATGTAACCCATAGACTCAGCATCCAAAGGGGGCCCTTAGTAAGGGAACAGGGGCTTTCTCTGGCATGAACTCAGTGACAGGCTCTCTAATCACCTCTCCCCAGGGGGTGAAGCCTTGTCAAGCCAGGAAGGAAGACAATGCAACCAGTCCTGATGAGACCTGATAGGCTAGGGTCAAATAGAAGGAGAAAATGACCTCCCCTATCAGTAGACTAGGGGAGGGGCATAGTAGGAGAAGAGGGAGGTTGGTATAGGGAGGAGATGAGGGAGGGGCCACAGTGAGGATGCAAATTGAATAAATTGTAATTAATGATAATAATAAAAATAATAAAAAACAGTAAATGAATAAAAAAGATTTAAACATTAAAAAAAGAAGAAGAAGAAGCAGTCTGTCTTTCATTCCTGCAAGGTTACAAAGTATCAGACATTTCATTTGTTCCAACCATGCATTCACGACTCCTCAGAGGGATTTCTTCACAGGAGCTCTAAATGCTGCTATCTGAAGAGGCACCTCTGGCCTTTCTGAGTATCCCTTGCATTGCAGCTATATATTTCACTCACTCTCCCTATCTCCTTCCTATTTTTATAGTTAATGAAACTCCTCTATAAGCTTTAAACTAAGATTCCTCTTCCCTCTCTGGTTCTATTATTTCTAGATCTCCATGCACTGTACTATTTTTGTTTAATGCTATCCCTCCTTTCTGGAGGACAATCACAGCCTTGAGACTCTATTACTCAATGCACCTCACTGGAGGGAATTATGTGACAGCTCCCACCCAGGACCTGCTGCTTCTCTTCTCTTGTTTTGTTTGACAATCATTATGTGAATTTCTACCTCAGTATGGTGTGTATGTGCTGCCTAAAATGAATGATTCTTCAGATTCCACGTAGCTTGTTTTATTCCATGTGCCTCCTTGTAAGATTTTCCAGATTTCTGGAACATTCCTGTGACCTGAGCAGCAGCAAAGATGAGAATCAATAATGGCTGCCAAGAGGAAACACACTGATGTTTCTTTCTCTCTTCTCTTTGCCCCTAGAATCAGACGTTGCCGACTTTGATGGCCGAAGCTCGCTTCTGTACAGGTTCAATCAGAAGACGATGAGCACCCTCAAAGACGTGATCTCCCTGAAGTTCAAGAGCATGCAAGGAGAAGGAGTTCTGTTCCATGGAGAAGGACAACGCGGAGACCACATCACCCTGGAGCTCCAGAAGGGCAGGCTAGCCCTATACTTGAACCTGGGTAATGTCAGACCCATAAATATGTGCACCAATGACTGTTGAGGCCAGAGGTTAACCTCGGATGTCTTCCTCGAACACCCCCAATTTTGTGATAACCTCTTAATTAACTTGTAGCTTACTGATTTGACCAGGCTGACTGACAAACAAACCCCAAGGATCTTCCTGTCCCTATTTCCCCTCTCTGATGGCCCCCACCCCTCCCACATGCTGGGATTGGAAGCATGAGTTGCTACAGCTGGCTTTTTATGTGAGTTCTAGGGGTTGGACTCAAATCCTCAGGCTTGGGCTTCCTTGTCATTCATTGGATATCTGCTCGGTGTGGTGTGGCATGGTGTGGTGTATGTGTGTGTGTTGTACTGACATAAATATACAGGTGTGCATACATACATACACACACTCACACACAAACATACAGAGAACAGAGCAAGGCACTAGGTATCTGGCTCTCTCTCTGACAGTCTCTTACTGATGCAAAAGCTTGTATTTGGAGCTAGGCTGGGTGGTCAACAAGCTCTTAAGCGCCACCTCTTTCTGCCTTTGGGTGCTAAGGTTGTAGGCACTCACAGCCATGCACACACTCACAACTACAACTGCTACTATTTTAGGATAAGAGAGTTAGGAATTGACATGCAAGTCGCTAAGGGTTCTTACTCACCGATAACATTATCCCGATAACATGCACGGGAGCATCTTCATCACATGCAGTCACAGAAGTAAATCTAAGTGATTTATGTCCTCTTTCTTCATAGGAGTAGAACAGCCCTTTTTTAAGTATTTCATCTTCATGGGAATAAAACAGCACTTTTTCTTTTCTGTGATAAAGACAGAATGTCTATTTCTATATATCAGAAGCTACAACATATATTTTTAAATATATTTTTTTTGTTTGATCTTCAAGACAGGGTTTTCTCTGTAGTCTTGGCCATCTTGTTTCTTTGTAGTCTTGGCCATCTTGTTTCTTTGTAGTCTTGGCCATCTTGGACTTGCTTTCTAAGCCAGGCTGTCCTCAAACTCACAGCCTGCCTTCACCTCCCTCAGTGCCGGGATTAAAGGAGTGTGCCACCATGCACAGCTTTTCATATCTTTTGCTCTACATACTTATGATGATTGTTTTCAGGATTCAAACTCTTAAGTAACTTAAATTTATTTTAGACATGTTCTTACTATAATGATCTTTCATGATTGAGCTGACTCAACAATTTAGAAAACTACAACTAAGTGTCGGGGGAACACCAATTATTTTATTCTTCTTAGTGGAAGGTATTATGTGTAAGTGGAAAAAAAAACTGGCCTTTGTTAATATGGCCTGTTCCTGAAAGGATGAGCCTGGGACCTGAAGGAGGCAGGCAGATGACTATTTTGTGAGTTTGAGGTCAGCCTGGCTTAGAAAGCGAGTCCAGGATGGGCAAGTCTACAAAGAAAAACCCTGTCTTGAAAACAAAACAAACAAACAAACAACAACAAAAACTTGTTCAGTAAAGAGTACCTTCCTGCCTCTCTGCAGTAGGATGTTTCTTCTCTCTCTGGGTGGGCCACTCTCTGGGCTTGCCTCATTGCCAGTTTTCTTATATTCGTTGAAATAAGGCTGAGGAAGTGAGCATGTTATCTTCAGCCTTAATGGAAAAAAAGTTCCACTTAATTATAAATAAATTTTCTTTGTATTTCTGTCTCTAAAACCTGCATCTTTATCACTGTCATTTGTATTCATGTCAGCTGTTCATGAAGATTTTTATCGTGTCTTAATAAATTGAAAATTTGTTAAAACAGGGTACTTGACCATCAAATGCAACTGAGATAAAATGGTAAACAGATGTTCTGAGATTAAAAATGGTAGTGTGCTGAGAATTATATTTTCTATGGTTACCGAAACAATATTCTACACTTCCAGGGGAGTTTTCATTAGATGGTCATTGTTCTTTCTTCATCAATATAGTTCTAAGCCACTAATTTTAAAATAGCAGAGTTGTTTTCTGAATTTATTTTATCAAACCATATTTCACTAGCTTTAATGTAAGATGTGAATTTTAGTGAAAAATAACTGAGGAAGAAGTAGGTGGAATTTATTTGTATCTTCCTCTTTTGGAGTCAATTAAGAATTAAACTCGTGGGTAGGTGAGATGGTTCAGTGGGTAAAGGTGCTTGTTGCCAAGGCTTACAACCTGAATTTGAACCTAGAACCCAGGAGGTGGAAGGAAAGAACCGTTTCCCACAGCTTTTTCTCTGATCTACACATGCTCACCCCTACATGCTCTCACTTACACCATCCCATAAATAAACAAATACATGTAATAAAAATTGAACCTATGAGTATGGATATATCTCAGTGTTAGATCATATGAATATCACATCTATCATATTCAAGACACTGAACTCCATCTTGAAGCCAACAAAGAAATATGTGAAATTCCTTGTAATTCAGGAGGCATTCACTAATTCACATAGGATACACATAATTTTTTTTCAGATTGCAGTTTCTTTTTCTTTAATTTTTTATTAATTACACTTTATTCATTTTGTATCCCCCCATAAGCCCCTCCCTCCTCCCCTGCCGATTCCACCCTCCCTCCCCTTTCTGCATGCATGCCACTCCCCAAGTCCACTGATAGGGGAGGTTCTCCTCTCCTTTCTGACCTTAGTCTATCAGTTCTCATCAAAAGTGGCTGCATTGTCCTCTACTGTGGCCTGATTTAATATTGGTTTTTCCTGGCCATCAAAGTAGTTATCCTAAGTCTAAGATATAAAAGAAAAAAATTGTGTAATAATATGGCAGATTTTGTTGATTTATGAGTTCATAGTTTTTATTGGTTTATTAGCAGTGTGTTGTGTGCATTTGCATATTTCTATTCTACTTGGATATATCCTCAATTAAGAATTTTAAGTTGTTGAATATTTTATGTATTAGCTGTCACTTTATGTTTCATCTAAGAGTAACTTATTCACAGATAAATATTTTAAAATGCTATGATAACTTCACAAATGCCACTTAATCATTTATCTTATATCCTTTTGTTGATTTTACATGTATGTTTAATCTATCTCCAAACTACTGAACATTATCTCCAATTTTTAAATCATTAGCTTTTTTGAGCCACTTATTAATTTATTGCTTTAGAATATATTTTCTTAAAGCAGATGACTAGGTTAAAGGGCCAGGACTTAAAGATCCCTATGTAATGTCCTGACTCAGACTTTGAACTGTAGCTTGCTGTGTCTGCACCTCAGTGTTCATGTTTTCATAAAATGTTCATCCAAGACAGTGCACTAACGGGGTTCAGACGGCACAGACCTTCCAATATAATGCAAGAACCGGATTTCTGAATGCTGAATGTATTAACGGTGAACCATGCTGGGAGATTTCCTCTGATCTCAAAGCACGATGGGCAGTTGCAGAGCAGAGAAATTGTGGAGATTCTTTTTTTTTTCCTTTTTCTATTTTTTCATAAGCATGGTAGACACGTGTGAGTGCAGAGGCTTTCCTTTGCATGTATGTAGGTACACATACATGTGGGAACTTGTGCACCTATGTGCTCCTCCAAATGCAGACCCACAGTTGGGTTTGGAAATCATCTTTGATTGCTTTTACTTTGTATTCATCAAAGAAGAGTCTCTCAGTCAAGCCCAGAACCCACTGAGGTGTGTAGTATTGTGAGGCAGTTTGCACTGGAATCCTCAGTCTCCACTGTCCAGGGATGGAATTTTAGTGAGCCACCACCCTCACCAGCCATTTATTAGGGTTCCTAGAGATCTGGATCCTCAGCTTGCACAACATCACTTCGACTGCTGGGTCATTCTGCCAGCCCTCAAATAATAAACTTTCAAATGAAAAATATTTTTAGTTTTAAAGTAAAGGAAACAGGAAAAGTAACATACAAAAAAGTGAAAGAAAACCTGAAAATTTATATTACCGAAAATGGACTAAATCCAATTTGTTGAAGAATAAATGGGTAAAAGTCAGAGAATATGGTTCACCAAAAGGAAGAGATTTTTTTCAGCTCTACCCATACAAAAGAGAAATCCACAGAAACTGATTTGGGGTGCTGATTAAATGGGTCATGTATATGCCACATAAGGATGAGAAACTGAGTTTGGGTCCCTGACACTGGCATAAAGCCAGACTATCTACACCCCAGATTTCTACTACAGTTTGAGAGACAAAGATGAGAGAATTGCCAGAGACACATAGGCTGGTTAGTAAGGGATACTCAGCTGCAAACAAGATGCCTTGTGTGAAAAAAGATGGAGGGTGAGGACTGACATTTAGGGCTCTCTCTGACTTCCAAAGGTGCATAATGGCACACACACACACACACACACACACACACACACACACACACTCACACACACACGCACACACATACTTAAACAACAAATGTGTGTAAAAATTACTCAGAAATATAGTTTCGGCCTATCAGACACTAAATTATAGCAGGAGTTTAAGTTGCCATAACCTTTAAAGACATTGCTGCTAACCTAAAATTCCTCTTTTATTAATCAAAGGCAGCAATCACACACTCAGAGGCCAAGAGGGTGCTGCTCGCCCTTTGCTGATGGGCCCTTCCACTGGCCTGGTCACCCCTCAGCCTGGGTACCAGCTCCTCCAAGCACTGCAAACATTATGTCCTCCAAAGTGCTTAGCCTTTTGTCTTTCTTTATGCAGTCATCTGTTCTAACTACTATTACATGGTGACAACACCACCAGAGCCCTCAGAAGAGAGGAGTCCATCTGCCCTCCATATCTTCTTTTATATATGACCATGACCAGTACAGCTAGATTGTAATGTCCTTCAAAGGAAGGACAGAAAGAAGAGAAAGGGATATTTATTAAAGCATTAGCATAATTTGAGCATGGCAAGAATTCAAGGCTTGTGAAATAAATAAATAATAAATCAACAAAGCATAAGCAGACATTAAATCACTCTGCCTGCTTTCCAAGTATGCTAAGCGAGGTCTCCCCACTCCAGCTCCTACAGGAAGTCAGGCTTTGTTAGTGAGACAAACAGCACCATCAGGACATACTGAAGGTAGCAGTGAGCAGGCCACAGGGAGATTAGCTGCTCCTGACCTCTGAATGTCACACAATGTTACCTGTGCACAGGAGAGTGCAGGTGGGGCTAAGGATGACACAGTGCAAGGAAGAGAAGAGATACACTTAGCCATCGTATTCTGAGTTGGGCAGAGACATTGGGCAGAAAACTATTTTCTTAAACTAAAATTAATGTGTCAAAGGCTCAAATAATGTTTCAGTGGGTAAGGATACTTGCTGCCAGGCCTAAGAGCTAGAGTTAGATTCCAGCATATGCATGATGGAAGAAGGGAACGAACTCCATACACACACACAAACACACAAAATTCATAAAGATTTTAAAAAATTATGAATCAATAATTAAAGCATCTCTTTAAAGCTGAGACAAATTCCGTGTGTAGTAGTAGCCATAAAGTTTTTGGTGGAAGGACTCAGTTCATACAGCAGGCACTCAACAGGTGCAGCAGGAATGATTGTGTCTTTCTCTGCTCCTGGGTAATAGATACACTTTGTGTGACAACTGGCTTCCTTCCTAGCTGGTTCAAGGTCTGCTTTTCTCATTCTTAATCGTCAAATAATGTGTGTATATTTAATTATGTTTTTTTCTAATGTTGAACCTTATCTTTGAGGAAACTTCAGGTACCTGTTACTCAGTTGATCAGCAGGATTCAAAGCTGCCCAGGCTAAGATCCCATTCTGCCTTCCTCCTTCTGCAGATGAAAGCAAAGCCAGGCTCAGTAGAATTACACCCTCGGCCATGCTGGGTAGCCTTCTGGATGACCAGCACTGGCACTCAGTTCTCCTGGAGCGTGTGGGCAAGCAGGCAAACTTCACTGTGGACACAAACACACAGCACTTCCGGATCAAGGGTGAGACCGATGCCCTGGACATCGACTATGAGGTAAGCCAACCCTCCATGCATGGTCTCAGGAGTGGGAGGGAGGTCTGTACATAGAGGTTTTAAGCCCTGCTTCTGGGTTAGGTTACAAAGCAGGCATCTCCGAGGATGATCTGAACAGGGATCTGGAAATTCATGGGCCAAACTCTGGGTCTCTGATGAAGTATCAACTGCACAAGTTAAAAATCAATATACTTCTTTTATTCTCAGTGTGTAAATGTGTGTGTGTGTCCTAGTTTAATTTCTATTAAGTCTAGCAACAAGTGGTTTATTTGGCTTAGATTCCTAATTAAAATCCATCATTTCAGAGAAGCCAAAGCAAGAATTTAAGTTGCATCCACTGTTGAGAGTAAGGAGAATAAATTCATTTTTCTTCCTCACTTATTCTCAAGTAGTTTTCTTCACATTTCTGCAGCTCATGGCTCAACCCACTCAATGGTGTAGTCATATTCATAGTGGTGTCCCTACCTCAATTAACAATCAAGATGGTGTCCTAAAGACATGCCAGGGCCAGTCTAATAAAGACTCCTTTGATTCTCTTCCTAGGTGATTTGAAGTTGTAACATGTGAAAATTATTTTTTCTTTATTAAATACACTTTATTCACTTTGTATCCCCCCATGGTTCCCTCCCTCCTCTCCTCCCAATCCCTCCATTCCTCCACCCTCTGCATGTATGCCCCTCCCCAAGTCCACTGATAGGGGAGGTCTTCTTTTCCTTCCTTCTGATCCTAGTCAATTAGGTCTCATCAGGAGTGGCTGCCTTGTCCTCTTCTGTGGCCTGGTAATGCTGCTTCCCCCTCAGGAGGAGGTAATTAAAGAGCAGGCCAATCAGTTCATGTCAGAGACAGTCCCTGTTCCTATTACAATGGAACCCACTTGGATACTGAACTGCCATGGGCTACATCTGTGCAGGGTTCTTAGGTTATCTCCATGCATAGTCCTTGGTTGGAATAGCAGTCTCAGGAAAGACCCTTGTACTCAGATTTTTTGGTTCTGTTTTTCTCCTTGTGGAGTTCCTATCCTCTCCAGATCTTATTATTTCCCACTTCTTTCCTAAGATTCCCTTGAACCCACTGGCACAGGAGAAAACTTCCTGAACAGAACACCAACAGCACAGGCTCTAAGAGCAACAATCAATAAATGCGACCTCATGAAACTTAAAAGCTTCTGTAAATCAAAGGACACTGTCCTCAGAACAAAACGACAGCCTACAGATTGGGAAAAGATCTTCACCAATCCTATATCTGACAGAGGGCTAATATCCAGTATATATAAAGAACTAAAAAAGTTAAACAGCAAAAAATCAAGTAATCCAATTAAAAATGGAGTACAGAATGGTGGATCAATGGAATCGAACAGAAGACCCAGAAATAAACCCACACACTTATGGACACCTGATTTTTGACAAAGATGCTAAAACCATACAATGGAAAAAAGATAGCATCTTTAACAAATGGTGCTGGTCCAACTGGATGTCTACATGTAGAAAAATGCAAATAGATCCATACTTATCACCCTGCACAAAACTGAAGTCCAAGTGGATCAAAGACCTCAACATAAAACCAGACACATTAAATCGGCTAGAAAAAAAAGTGGGGAATACCCTAGAACTCATTGGTACAGGAGAAAACTTCCTGAACAGAACACCAACAGCACAGGCTCTAAGAGCAACAATCAATAAATGGGACCTCATGAAATTGAAAAGCTTCTGTAAAGCAAAGGACACCGTCATCAAAACAAAGCGACTGCCTACAGATTGGGAAAGAATCATCAGCAACCCTCTATCTGACAGAGGACTCATATCCAATATATATAAAGAACTAAACAAGCTGAAAAGCAACAAACCAAGTAATCCACTTAAAAAATGGGGAACAGAGCTAAAGAGAGAATTCTCTGCAGAGGAATACCGAATGGCAGAGAAGCACTTACAGAAATGCTCAACCTCATTAGCCATTAGGGAAATGCAAATCAAAACAACCCTGAGATTTCACCTTACACCCATCAGAATGGCCAAGATGAAAATCTCAAGGGACAATACATGCTGGAGAGGTTGTGGAGAAAGGGGAACCCTTCTCCACTGCTGGTGGGAATGTAAACTGGTACAACCACTCTGGAAATCAATCTGGCGCTTTCTCAGACAACTAGGAATAGTGCTTCCTGAAGATCCAGCCATACCACTCCTAGGCATATACCCAAAAGAGGCGCAAGTACACAAAAAGGACATTTGTTCAACCATGTTTGTAGCAGCTTTATTTGTAATAGCCAGAAGCTGGAAACAACCCAGATGCCCCTCAACTGAAGAATGGATGCAGAAACTGTGATACATCTATACAATGGAGTATTACTCAGCAATGAAAAATAAGGAAATCATGAAATTTGCAGGTAAATGGTGGGACCTGGAAAGGATCATCCTGAGTGAGTTGACCCAGAAGCAAAAAGACACTCACGGTATATACTCACTCATATAAACATACAATATAGAATAAACCCACTAAAAGCTGTACATCTAAACAAACTAAGCAAAAGAGAGGACCCTAACTAAAATGTTCAATCCCCATCCTGAAAGGCAAAGAGGATGGACATCAGAAGAAAACGAAAATAGGAAACAACCTCGGAACCCGCTACAGAGGGCCTCTGAAAGCCAGAAGAAAACAGGAAACAACCTTGAAAACTGCCACAGAGGGCCTCTGAAAGCTTCTGCAGTATAGACTGTCAAAGCAGATGCTGAGCCTGATGGCCAACTGATGGGCAGAGTGAATGGAATTTTATGTAAGAAGTGGGAAATAGTAAGAGCTGGAGGGAACGGGAACCCCACAAGGAGAGCAACAGAACAAGATAATTTGAACACAGGGAACTTCCCAGAGACTCATACTCCAACCAAGGACTATTCGTGGAGATGACCTGGAACCCCTGCACAGGTGTAGCCCATGGCAGTTCAGTGTCCAAGTGGGTTCCATAGTAATGGGAAGAGGGACTGCCTCTGACATAATCTGATTGGCCTGCTCGTTGATCACTTCCCCCTGAGGGGGGAGCAGCCTTACCAGGCCACAGTAGAGGACAATGCAGCCACTTTTGATGAGAACTGATAGACTAAGATCAGAAAGAAGAGGAGAACCTCCCCTATCAGTGGACTTGGGGAGTGGCATGCATGCAGAAAGGGGAGGGAGAGTGGCATCGGCAGGGGAGGAGGGAGGGGCTTACGGGGGGATACAAAATGAATAATGTGTAATTAATAAAAAAAGTATAAAAAAATGGGGTATAGAGCTAAACAGAGAATTCTCTGTAGAGGAATATCGAATTGAACAGAAACACTTAAGGAAATGCTCAACCTCATTAACCATCAGGGAAATGCAAATCAAAACGACCCTAAGATTTCACCTTACACCCTTCAGAGTGGCTAAGATCAAAAACTCAAGAGACAACACATGCTGGAGAGGATGTGGAGAAAGGGGAACCCTCCTCCACTGCTGGTGGGAATGTAAACTTTTACAACATGTGAAACTTTAAAGCTAACCATCAAAATGTATGTGCTTCTTTAAGTGTATATATATATATATATGCCTGTGTGTATATGTGTGTGGTGTGTGTGTGTGTACACTTGGGTATATATGTACTTGTCACCTCACAGTGTTATTGTTTTTTGCCTTTATGTAACCATTAATTCTTTAACAAACAACTTGAACTAGTTGGAATAATAAAAGATATTGAAAATATCAAGAAAATCTCAAGTGAGAACTAGCAAGATGGCTCAGCCACTAAAGTGATTTGCTGCCAAGACTAACGGCTTGAGTTTATTTCCACAGAGCCACAGAGCAGAAGTCTAGCTTTTAAAATCTCCCAAAGTCTTCAAACCTGTGTTCTCAGTGGGTCTCTGGCCTTTTACCTCTATGCCCATTTGAAGTTTTAACTAATAGTTTAGACCTGTTTTTCCCATGTCTTTGCTACTAGAGACTGATCCCAGAGCCCTGGAGGAAAAGATCAGTGGAATGCATTAAACTATGCTACAAAGAAGGCTTTAGGTCTTCTGGTTTAATAGTCAAAGTGTCAGAGAGCAGGGTAACCAGCAGACAGTGGAGAGAAGAATGGGACCTTGTGGTGGGGCTGAGAGGAGAGGGAGCGCTTTGTTCACGGAAAGAGGCACACGTTTAGAAGCAGGAGGCCGCACTAGGTCTTGACAGAAGAATCCAGTTAGCCCGGTCAGAAGGAAAGATGTGTGTGCCACATCCCAAAGCAGGGAGGTCAAGCACCACAGTGGGCAGGGTTTAAAACAAAGCAGTGCTATGCAGAAGTGAATTAAACACAGGAACCCAAAGGTTAGATTTTTAGAAATTTTGAAGGCTGCCTGGTGGACATGTCTATTATTAAATCGCCAACTGCATAAAGAGGATTAAAAGGTTTGGATATTAAATTAAATATTTTTGACGACATAAATTTATTAACTTCTAGTTGTTTTTGCTCTGTAATTACCTCTCATTCTAATTACACAACTGTAGTTTTGTAACTTCTCTTTCTGGAGAATGTCTTCTACACCAAGATGCTGACAAACTGCAAACTGAGGCTTGATTCATTGTTTTACAGATGTCCTGGACCAGGAGTCAGCAAAACTATGTCTGACTGAAAGCCTCTTTTTCTATGACTTAATTGTTGAAGATTAATTATTTTATTGTGTGTGTGTGTTGTATATGTGTGTATACGTGTGTATCGTGTATGTGTGTAAGTATGAGTGTGTTTATGTGTTTACATATGTGTGTCTGTTTGAGTATATGTCTGTGTGTGTGGTATCTGTATGTGTGTGTATGTTGTTCGGATGTGTGTTTGAGTGTATGTGAGTATGTATATATGTGTGTATGTGTCTGTGAGTATATGTATGTATGTGTATATATATATGAGTGTGTGAGTTTATATGTATGTGTGTGAGTGTTTGTGAGTGTATGTAAGAGTGTGTGCACTGTCTTCCTCTGTGGCCTGGTAAGGCTGCTCCCCCTCAGGGGATGATGATCAA